GGGCAGTGGGAATGGGCCATATTTTTTTACTTTTAGATATTAAAGATATGATGTGGGCCAGTATTGTGGGGTGTCTAGGCTGTTTACCTTCACCAATGCAGTTTTTCCCTCCTGGTTTGTAATTAAGCTCCATTAAGTTCTCCCCACAGCAGGCTTAGACCTGCATCTCTTTGTTGATAAAACTGACATGCAGTTGGTTCATACATTCTCTTACAGGCCTGGCAGGTTTTCAGCGATAGCCTCTAAAGAGCAACGCTTCCTTTGTCAGATGATGTCTTCAGAATTGAGTTTTTAAAATCTTACCTGTGACTGTGCTGACTCTGCTTTGCTGTGGCCCTGCAAAGAGACGGGAGGGACGTGCTCTCTTGCTCCAGAGGGGCTCGTGGGCCAATGGCACAGAGAGGCTGGCAAGCTGCCTTCAGGCCTGGGTCCACCTTCTTTTTCCTGAAACGCTGCATTGATCAGATGCATCCACCAGCAGCCCAGGCCAGGCTTGGTGTAAATGTGATACTCATTGTGTTCTTGCCTTTCCAAACACGCTTGGTTTTGTGTGCTGGGTCACAGCTTGGAAAGTCCATGCTTACCCTCACCCAGTCACGTGTGCTTTGCCCTCTCCTAAATGCAACGTGCTGGTAAGGTGACAAGTGCAGGTGACAAGTGCAGTAGTGGACGTGTTCTCTCTGCTCTCGAGCGCCAGTCTGTACTGGAGAGCAGTGCTCGAGCATTTTACCTTAGGTCAGTTGTGTGGCTGTTCCCCTGCTACAGCAAAACTTGTCTTGATTGTGAGGCCCCATATATAATTCAGAGCATGTCTCCCTGGAAAAGTAAATCAGCTTATTCTGCTTTGCTTTTCCTTACCTTTTTTTTTAATTTTTAAATATTTTTTCCAAACAGCCCGTGTGAGTGGCAACGTGCTGTGCTGAGAGCTGGGGATGGGGAACGAGCATTTCTCCACTGCTGGTTCCTTTAAAGTAGCAGCACGTGCTGAGCTGCAGCGTTTGCCTGTGACGGTTGGCGGGAGCATCGCTGTGCATGAGGCAGCTGGTAAACTGGTAAAGTTCCTGTTTGGATCCATGCTGTGGCTGGAGCTGCTCTGGCAGCTCTGTGGCTCGCCTCTGCTGGTGCTACTGCACGAGTTTGGAGCCGTTTCTCCAACACACGGGTCTGTGATGTGAGTTTGCTGTCCTCCAGACTGCAGGAGGTGAGGGAACAGCCGACTGATGCTTTCCATCTCGCCATGCAGGCCTGCTGTTGGAGATGCAGATGAGAGACACCAGCATCCCTCTTCCCAGCATGTGCTGTCCCACCGTCACCTATAAATGCCCAGCACCAAGGGAGATGGAGATCTCTCTCCTCACAGTTGACTAGATTTCCACAGCCACCTCTTCAACTCACTATTTTTGCATTTCAGGCTGCTTGGTGCTATTTTACCATTGTTGGTGTTTCTGTAAGCAGCCCTATTTTGCAGTGCTTTGTAACATACCAGTGTCTGGGGTTTGTAGAGCATTTTAAACCGTTCAGCATTTCAGTAGCAAATCATCTTTCAGGGTTTTCCCAAGTCTGCTGCCTGAGGAAGGGAACAGATAGAATCTCCAGCCATTTCTCTTGTACTTTTCACAGGGAAGCATTTGGAAGTTTTACTCTAAAAATGCTCTTTGCTCGTCTAAAGACTGTTCAGCTCTCTTCTGCCTGCAGTGTTGTAAGACATGGTGCGTTGCAGCGTGAAATGTTTAAGAAGAAGACGACCAAAGGACCCATCTAGAAGGACACGTGTACTAAGAGCATCAGTAGCTTTCTGGAGTGAAGAGGAATTTACAGGTTCATGCAGAACATGGTGCTAATAAGGTTCAGTTGCCACTCACACAGGCAGAGACGTCTTCCTTGGTTGTTGTAGCACTGAGTGTTTCCCATCTGCCTTTAAAAGGGAAATGTGCCAGCTCTTCTCGAGGAACTTGAGTGTCGCCTGTTTCTAGAAGGTTGGACAGGAAAGGTGAACAAAGCTTTTAGCTTCCAGCTTCTATTTGCTTCTTTAAAAGTATCAGGACTGCAATTCCTTCCTGTGTTCCTCACGGCAGCCAGCAATGAGAACAGACCTCATGAACAACAGCTCTCCCACCTCTAACAGAGCGTCCAACCTTATGTAAAGCCAAGCAGGAAACAGCATTCCCCCTCCAAATTTGATGTTTAGAAGATTAATCTCCCCCCCCAACGTTCTTTTGGATGAAGTAAAGACCTTTCTTTAAAACAAGGGGGAAGTGAGACTCAGCAGCCCACCTCTAAATACGTGGTGGTGATGGCTGAGCACATCTGCTTGGGCTGTGGGACATTTTTGGGTGCAATTCTCAAGTTAAGTCTTTGAGAGATTTTAATATTTTTTTTTTAATTTTTTGAGGCTCCCAGGTCCTTGGTTAATGTCCCAGCTGCTGCTCTGGGGGGGACAGGAGCAATTGAATTAACAGATTTGGAAGTAGCAGTGTATCTTTTCCAATGCCTCTTGACCATCTTTGCACTTTAAGAGACTTGAGCTCGGTTTTGGGTCAGGGGCTAGGATCCTGGCGAGCCTTTCAGAAATGGGTCTCTTTGGTCGTGGTGTGAGGAGTTTGACTCCTGGGTGGTATCTGCCAGATGAGTGTAAATACATAAAGTCAAACTATGTTTTGTCACAAAATATTACATATGTGGAGAATTGAGTATTGTGGCTGTTACCAATAAATATTTTGTAGAGAGATCACTGAGTGCTGTAAATTCTGCGTTTGTCCAGTGTGATATGACTTGCTGTTTTCTTGGAGGGGAATGGGAAAATCATTTTTAAAAGCCCCTTTGTTTTGGAAAGTCAGCAGCTCTGTAGTGGAAATTGTGATGCTCTGAAGCTTTCTCTAAATAAATTGTCCATTTTAAGAGGTTTCTCCTGCCTAGGAATGTATCCGGATAGGGAAGTGGACTTGTGACAGCTCCTTGGTGAGGTCTGGTGGGTAGAGGAGTGTTCACAGAAGCCTGGGGTCTGTCTGGGAGAGCTGAGCCCTTTCTCAGTTTTTTTTAAGGTGGGGAAACAACTTGTTGGTTTGGAGTAACAGGAGACGTGGATCGTTACAGTCGATGTATATAAAGCATTACAGCTCCCGTAGGGGGGATGGCAATTGGCATCAGGTTAATGTGCTTAAACCCATGTGAATTGTTTTCAGGTTAAACTCAAGAGGATGGGGGAAGAGTGAAACTGGAGAGAAACGGGTTTTGTTTTATCCCTTGCTCAAGCCACAAGTTTACATTAGAGTGAGCTGAGAAGGCTAAACTCCTTCCTGGCCTCCCACTGCAGGAAATGGCCTTGTGTCACCTCGCCCTCGGGTGGTCCTGCTGGGGGAACTCTTCTAGTGACAAACTGGTTTTCAGCAAACACAAAGACCCCTGCAATTTTCTAAGGCTGTTTTTCTCCCATCTTAGGACTGTGTAAAACCTTGGGCAGGAATAAAACTGCAGTAAGATGGATGAAAAAACCCCCTTGTATTCTTATTTGGACTTTGATCCTTACGGAACTTGCACACAGGTTTGTCTGCTTCACTGGGAAATTCTGCAACTTGTGTCATGAATAATGAAAACCAGAGTGGGGACTCGGGGAGATGGGGAGCTTGTCCAGACCTGAATTTCCCTGGTTAATGAACGAGGTGAGAAGCAGATCCTCAGAGGTTTAAGGCACAACTCAGTTTGGCATGTTTTCTGCACTGCTGCTCCTGTTGTGATGCGTGTAAGCGCATGTGATTCAGCAATGCAGACAAATTTGAACAAACCAGTTTTATTTTACTTGGAGTTCTATTAAATCAGCTGATGAACTTAAAATACTTTGGTTCTCATCAGTGCTACTGCTACAAAACCAGCCTTGCTGTCAGAAATTACCTGAATGAATAGACAAAGCGTTAGCAAGTGTTGTGGACAAAATTTGTTAGAAATCTGTAAGTTACATCAGGTGCTAATATATTTAAATAACATTAAGGCACGTATTTTTACACAGGAGGCTCCTGTACACCAACGTGTAGCTTCATCTGCAAATATTGTCTGTTTTGAGATGGTGCTGCCTACAAATGGCAACTTTCTCAAGAGGTCCAGGCTACTGCTTCAGCATTTGGGTGAGGCCAGCACAGCCACGCCTCGTGCTGCCTTAGCAGCAGCTCCCGGGTTTTCAGTACATCTTGTGTTACAGCAGATGGACACGAGGGACACGTTAGCTTACGCATCCAGCTTTACACGACTTGGTTCAAGTCTGATTAAAATCCAGTTCAATTATCCTCATTCTTCAATATTAAAAAGGGAGAGGGGTCACTAGAAACGTGGATTTGAGGCTCACTGTACCGCAAAGATCTCAGCAATAGTACCCTTCAGCTTGCATGGCACCCGTTGCGATTTCTCTTTGGCCCATCAAAGAGTAAGGGGAATGATTTGTTCCCCACTGTTCCTCTCTTGTTCTTAAGCAGCTATTGTTCTCGTTGATCTTCTGCCTAAGTGTGCTGGCTGTGCATTTTGAGGTTCCACTGCAGATGGTTTTGCTGGAAGAGAGTGTAAGTGCACAGCAGAAATCCCTCAGTCTCGGGCTGATGCTGAATAGCACGGCCATAGGGGGACACAGAGATCCTGCGCGTCATGCTCGCGGTCAGTCCTCACCCCTGTTGTGTAGTGGGATGACAAATACAGAGATGTCATCATAGGATGCCTCGTGGCTGTCATCCAGCATCCACTGGTGGCCTCTCTTCTTTCCCCTTGCTCTGCACACCAAGCACTTGGCCAGTTCTGAAAATCTGTGGGTGGCAGAAACACAAGGTTTGGGTTAACGTGGCACTAGTCCCTTAAGAACAACAGTGAGATGTGGCTTCATGTTGTCTAAGCAGTAGGGTTTTTAAGACACCAGCTTTACCATTGTTTCTTTAGGACAGGGAAAGATTAGGAGGCAGTTTCTAGAGTCACAGAAAAGAAAGCTTGGTCATGCCAGAGCTGACCCAGAAGCAGACTGATCTCAGCCTGCTTTTAGTCTGACCAGGTTCTTTGAAAGGGAAAATGATGTCCAAGCTGGTATTACCTGTCAGGATCTGTCCTGTTTTCTGCAAGGAAGCTCCTGACCATATGGGCCACCTCTTTGTTGCAGAGAACATCCCAAAGGCCATCAGTTGCCATGATGAGGACATCATCTTCCTTAATGTCATGCAGAGCAAAGTCAAATACATTCACCTGGAAAGCACAGGAGAAAATCAGTGACAGTTCCTGCAGTGTACTGGAGGGGTCAGGGAGATGACTCTTCCCCTGAGAGATGACAAAGTGGGACCCCTTGCTGTTAGGCTTCTAGATTCCTCTATCTTGAGGATTCTCTGGGCAGCATGCAGAGAGACAGGGGATGGAAAAAGGACGTGGCTAAGGCCTGGTAGGTCTGTAAAAAGTGGGGTGCTACAGAGGAGGAGGAGGAGCAGCAGCATGTTTAATTCCATCCTGCAATTCCCATGCGGTGTCACTGACCTTGGGAATGCAGGAGAGGAAAGGTTTGACCTCGATGTTGGTGTCGATGACTTTGAGCTGATGATCCCCCAGACCTCGAGAAACAGCCAGAGTCCCCAGCAAGCGAGCCTGGCCCCAAACAAAGCAAAACAGGATTGAAATGTAAGAACGTGGCACTATTAGAGGCTGGTCCTGACTGATCGATGTGTTGCCTTTAGGACCCTTCTCCAAACATCACCCAGAACTGCCCCTGGAGACTTCAGAGATGGAGGAATGATCAGAAGTGATGATCTGACGTGAGTGTGGAGACAGCCTGCACATTGGTGGCTGCTGGAGGCCCATGGTGTGCTCTGGAGTTAGTACAGGTACTCTCAGTAATGCTGCAGACCTCAGGAAGCCCATGGTGGCATCTGCTCTTGATATTGGGTGGTGAGGAAGTAAACTGGGTTGGTTTAGGGGAAGTGATGGGAAGGATCCTTTCTCCTGGGAAAGGGGGTGGCATGCAGGCTGTGGTGCTTCTCCCTGCCTCCTCCTTCCCTCTCCAGCCTCCTTTTCTCAGCCTCTCCTTGAGGAAGAGAGTTTGTGGGAAAGGCACTGCTTAGAGCTGGAGGACACAGTCCAAAATGGGATCTGAGGAATGAAGTTCTCATCTGAAATGAGTTGTGGTGTGCAAGGGGAGATGAGGAAAGGACAGGCTGGCTAGAGGGCTGCTGTTTGCTCTGCAAGCAGGAGGGTGCAACCTCTCTGCTCTGGAGGGCTCTGGTTTACACTGACCAGGCTGCATGGTGCTGGCAAAGGGAGCTGCTGTATCGGGGCTGTGGAACTGCACCATGGTGGAGACCCCCAGAGCACTGGGTGCTCTCTGCAGCCCCAGTCTGCCGTAGTGCCCCAGAGGGTGACTGTGAGTGACGGGGACGCTGAGAGCCCCCAGCAGACTTGCCTCTGCCTTCCCAGTGTGTAAAGCATTAAGCTACCTGCTTCCCGTGACCATGGACAAGAGGATACTTGAGGTCGGCTTTCTCCACTGTCTTGTATCCCCTAGAAGAGAGGATTCACCGTTGATTTGGGATTTGTTTGACCTGATGGTACAACCCAGCCAGAGCATTTCATCTGTGATTCAACCCTCGATCTGCCCCCATGCACAGGCACCTGACTGAGGAAGGGGCAAGGTGACTTGCTGAAGCAGATGCAGTGAAGATGACCCCTTGCTGAATTCCCTCCCAAGTGTTTTTCTCTCTCCCCTTCCTCCCCAGCTTGTACCTGCACCAGGCTGGGACTTCCTGCACCAGCCCCACCTCACAGGATCCCAGAAGGACCATCTCAACTGTTCCCTAACTGCCCTGCCAGGACCCCAGCCCTTCAGTCAGGGGGAGACTGCTCACAGCATCCTTCACTTGATCTGACACAGCTTTCCACCATCAAGCCCACTGCTCTCACCAGTGGGGGATGCCTCTTCTCCCTTCACCTCTCCATTGCTACGAGCAGGTAAAGCTGCCCTGTGCTGCAGCCTTCTCCTCAGGCAGAAAGGACTCACCAGCCTTCCATGAAGTAATCCCGGTACAGGACTTTCTGGCCCACGTCATCTCCCTTCAACCTCCGTGGAAATTCAAAGCGTGTGAACTCGCCATCCAGGAGCTTGGGGAAAAGAAAAGCCTGGAGGAGAGAACGAAGGTGTGAGGATGAACAGGTTCTGCTTCAGCCAAGTAGGGCACCAAAACTGCTTCTGCCTTGGGACTGGCGCTCCCAGCCAGCAGAATGGAGAACAGAACTGGGAAAGCACATCTCAAGGAGGACATGAGCATCTCCCATACTAAAGGCTGTTGGTTGAATCTTGCCCCCAGCCCTCCCTGGCTACTGCCAGTTGCCATTCTGGCCACACAGTGGCCTTTGAGGAAACCTGGTGGTGTTCTTGCCACAAGCCCTCTCTGACCCAGTGGGGTGCTCACAGCTGCATCATCTAATGCACAAAAGGACTCACCAAGTGCTGGATCCGCTGCCTCTCTGTCTCGGGTGTGAACTCGCAGCTCATGGGCACAACGTTGTCCTTCAGAACAAGAATCGCCCTACGAGGGGGAGGAGGCCAAGAGCTGAGCTGTGTCTGTCACTGCAGCCCTCCTCTTACCCAGGGTCAGCCAGGTGTGGGACCAGGGTAACCAGCGGCAGAGCAATGCCAGAGAACAGCTCTGCACCCAGAAATGTTTAAAAATGCCGCTGTATTTTAAATAACTCCATTGCAATTGCACTGCTGCAGCAGAGAACTGAGCTTGCCTGGTTTGAGAGCTCACTGCTAGAGGAATGGCAGGCCAAGGCCAGATGAAGAAGCTTTTTAGGATGCCTTGAAAACACCTTCCACTTTTAAACACCTGCCAGGCTGAGCTTACTGCTGCACTGCTGCCCTGTGCTTGGGCAGTGTTAGTCCCTCAAAATCCCCAAACCCTTCCAAGGGGCACGAGAGCACCCAGCCTTCCAACAGGTCCTGTGGCAGGCAGGATGGAAAAGGCTGGGCTGCACATTTACCTTCTGCAGGATTAAATAAGGTGCTGGAAACCTGGCTTATCTCCCAGCTCTCAGCCCCCAGCAGCTTCTCGCTTCTCTTATGGCTCACCTGCTGTCCCCAGCATTAGCCACATACAGCTTTCCCTGGAAATAAAGGGCAGCCAGAGCAGTGCAGCCTCCTGTCTGGTTTGTAGCTTCCATCTCCTGGCCGATAACTTCATCCTGTTGGTTTAAAAAAGTCTGGAGAGTGACGTTGAGCTGGGCTGCTGCTTTCTGCAGCTGCCTCACGCCTCCCAGCAGAAATCCAGAACCAAAGCTGATGGCAGATGGGACATGGGACACCAGCAAGGCATTGGTACAGACAACAAACCTGCTGCTACTGGCCTAAGGACCACTTTAAGAGCATGATGGGGAGATCTCAAACTGGTACATGTGCGTGTGACAAGAGCCACCATCTAGCCCTGAAGAAATGTATCCCCTGGGGGCAGTTTTGCAGATGCTGTAGCTTTGTGCTGGGTCAGCACTGCTGATGTGCAATAGATCTGAGGCAGATCTTGGCGAGCTGACCCAGCATGATCTCAGCACACTTAAAGGTTTGGCTGAATGTTCTTGCCTGCTCCGTGAGCTGCAGAACTGCAGACCTTGCCCACCCCAGGCAGTGAGTGGAAAAGGAAAAGACTCTCTGAGAAAATGTTTATAAGTGAAATGATACTGATGAATAGAAATATTATAGGAAAGATGAAAAATTAGATACAGGTGCTATGAAATAATAGAACTAATTCCTGTAAGCCATGCAACCACGTTGCTTTTCATTTGTCCCTTGTATAGCCCCTTCTGTGCTTGGTTTAAAACCCAATCCAGCTGAATTAACAGGAATGATAGAGTTTAGGACGTAATAATCATAGGAGATAAGTGATTAACTTAGAGTAAGTACTAGTTAAATGTCACTATGTAGGTTTTTTAAAAAAAGTGCAAAGGTTAGCAGGCAAGATTATTCAAGATGATAAGTGAACACAGTGACCAGAATGAGACCAGTGAACTGCAACTTCTGAAGAGGAACTGAGATGAGACAATAAGAATCAGCCAAGTCTGAAGACTCACTATGGACTCTTTATAGGATTTTAAATTAATGAGAATTTGGAACTGTGGGTTCATGGGAAAACACCAAGAACTTTGAGAAGAATTTCTATAGTATAATGTTAAATTTAGCATATATAGAGAGCCTGATTTTTGCAATGCCTTTGTCACTCACTGAGGTGATGGCTCCACTCTGAGTTGTCAATAAAGCAAACCTAGAGTTACCCACAGATTGACTGAAATTCCTTTGACAGAAACTGGCGACCCAGATGGGACTCTAGGACACAAGAGAAAAAGATAAGAGCCAGATATCCCTCTGGACAAACCTGTCTCCAACACTCAAATTGCTGGCAAACAGGTGAGTGCACCTATAGAGCTTTGGGTACGGGTAATTCCAGACTGGTTTATACTGGGAGGACTCTTGTGTTTAAACTTGCTATAAAGAAAATAAAAGAAGGTAAAAGAAAATGGGAACGACACCCACCATTGAAAGAGGGACACTCCTTGCTGAGGTATTGGGAAATTGGAAGAAGATACCCTTGGCACAGACATTACAGAAGAGGAGGCTGATAACGTTGTGCCAAGAGGAATGGCCATTCCTGACTAGAACTAGAGGAGGAGGAGGATCAAACGATGAGTGGCCTCCCAAAGGAACTTTTAAACCTCATAAGCAGAAGTTTTTGAGATTAATTCTAGAAGATTCTGGAAGTCAAGATATTGATTATTGGTATATTTGGTATAATTGGGCAAATCAAAGGATCTCTCTTGAGAAGAAAAGAAACCATGGATTTGAATTGGAGCCCAGCAACGAGCAGGTTGCTGGGAAAGAGGCTTGGATCCATCATTCTCATGCCCACAAAGATTCTGCAGAATAATGGACTGTTGTAAAGTATTATTTTTCTCTATGTTTCCTTGTATTTTAGCTAAGAATGACACCTCGTGGACCAGATTTGCATTGCGTCACCAGGATCCCTGTTCCAATAGAACTATTATTTTTATATATATATTTATATAGTGGTTGCTCTGATCAACTTTCGGGTCAAGTTACAGGCTTTAAGACAAAGAATAAACAGGTCATTTTTTCATCTCATTACCCAGCAACCAAACAGAGAGACCCTATTTATCTACTTCATGACTGTCTTGAATCCTGTGCTAATGTCTGGAGTAGAATTGATGATTTAAAGAATACTTGGACCAACGGCTCTGGCCCGTCTAAATGCTGGCTGTGGGGTTTTTGCCCTTCAAGAGTTGCTCCTTCATATCACATTCAGATTTATGAACCAATATGGGGAATCAAGACATGGTGTTATGACCATCAAATGTGGGGAGTACTGGGTAACGGAGACTGGTGTTGTCATAGATTCAATCTATCAGGCAATCGTTTTACTTTCAAATTTAGGATTATAATTTACCAATGGTGGTCGCCAGAAGCCCCAGCTTCCCTGGTCAATGGAAATGGATATTATGATTTTTGGGGTGTATTATAATTTAAATATTCCTCATGCCTATTCTAGTATGTCTTTTTGTAGGATTTTAAGACCAACCAGACAAAAACCAAGAGATACTTACCAAATAGACTCAAATGCAGTTTGGACTAATAACATGCATGTGTCATTGATGAAATCTTTAACTGATAATGAGGTGATGGCCCAACTCTGAGTTGTCAATGAAGCAAACCTAGAGTTACCCACAGATTGACTGGAATTCCTTTAACAATGAGGAGGGACAGACTGACTGCTTGGGACAGCAGGACCAGTGCCCTGCATGGGGTACTCACACATTCCTGGAAGGCGTTCTCCAGGGCTCCCACCACCAGGTCTTCTGCATGGATGTGCTTCTCCTCCACGAACTGTGGGTCACTGTCACAAACACAGCGTCCACTCAGATGCATGGGGGGACGGACCTCTGTGATGCCTCCCACAACCTCCTCCAGCTTCTGCTTGATGCAGTAGTGCAAGTAGTTGGAGGCGATGATGGCAGCTTCTGAGCCACCATGGCCGTCAAACAGTGCCCAGTAGTAACCAGTCAGGAACTGCAGTGGGGAAGAAGGGGAAGATGGGCTGGAGAGGTCAAAGGGGGAAGACGGGCTGGAGAGGTCGTACAGATGGCAGGCTTGCAGCCAGGACACTGCTGTACGTGTTTTGCCTGGCTTTTCCACCCCACCCACCCCTCCCTGCCACCAGTTAATTCCCTGTGCAGCTCAAACTCACGTGATGCCCATGTGCTGCTCTGCCAGACGTGTCATCTGAGCAGCTGGATTCGCAGCCACCCACCCTCATGTGCTGTTCCTCTGCATTTTAGGGGAGGTGGCTCTACTCTTATTTTACAAGAGGCGAGGCAGAGCTGCTCCCAGGTGGGAGCATCCCATGTGCCTGGTGCACACTGCTGTCCCCCAGTGATGGCAACATACACCTGCCTTGAAAGCAGAGCGAGGACACTAAAGGAAAGGTGAGGACACCGAGTAAAGGCCTCGGACAATCTGAGATGCTGCACAGCATGGGCCAGGGAAATAGAAATGGCACATATGGGCAGAGCTGGGCATTTGCAGGCCAGACACAGGGTACGTGGAGGCCCTAGACGTGTCCAAGGAAGGGTTTCGGTGCCTGGGCATGTAGGACTGATGGAGGAACCCCGTGTTTCCTGTACCTGGGCCCTCAGGTGTGGACCAGGGCTGGCAGCAGGGCAAGCACAGCCTGCCCATGGGCTATACCTGCGTGGAGCACAGGATCAGCCATTCCTCATCCTCCTCCAGGCCCAGCTCTTTCCTCCGGATGGAGATCTGACAGCAGGCTGCCTGGTCCTCATTGAACTCCGACTTCTCAGCGTTGATAACCCTGGGGGTGCAAACGCTTCAGGTAAGACATGGGGATGTACTGCACCTCACCTGCTCCCAGCCAGGGTGGGAGTGCTGGGCGCTGCACAGCCACGGCCAACGGCTGCACCTTGACCCATCCTTCCAGCCCCACACTCCCTGCTCCCTTTTCAAACTCAAGGATCTCTTTGCTAGGGACCTAAACAACAAGTCCTTTATGTGCAGCAGGAAAAAGCTTGGCCAGGGACATTGGGCTGAGTGGTTTTGGAGCACCCTGGCCTCAGGCAGCCCTTGTCAGCAGCCCACGCTGTGCTATTTCCTTGGTGACATAGTCAATTGCAAAATCACCATCACTGTTTTTCCTTCCAGCCCGGCTGATGTTTGTCCCTGGATGGGAGTGTGCTCTC